TCAATGCTCTGCATTTGGCTCCATCCACAGATGGATCGCGGTCCACAAGACCTTTCCATTGTTGCCATTTAGCCCTCAGGCTGAAAAACATTCTCTGCTCCTGCTTGGCTTAAACAATGATTAGTGAAAGCAAGCCAAGCAGTTTACATTATATTCTAATCTGATGTCATAAAATTAGTCACCAACTACAAGTCAAAGCACTTATCTTTGCATGTGGCATCTCTCAGAAAAGTTGCCTTATTTTTCAAATTGAATTAAAGCTATAAGCCCTGCATATGAACTTGGTTGTTTCAGCTACCATTTATAGCATCTCAAACTCACCACCAGGACTGTTTATAACACTCTTGCTGGTAATCTACTGTGTAAATGCAGCAATAGCAATTTTGAGAGTATTCTGTTATTTTCTCCAGTGTTCAGGGAAGTGGATGCTTGTTCTCCAAGGCCTTCCAGTAAACAATGAAAAAAGCCGTGCATGACAAATATGTAAGATTTACATATTTGGATCAGGAAAATATATATTACTAATTATGCTGCAATACCTTAAGCATAGTTTACAAAGCACATCTGCTGTTCTTAGAGGGATGCCTCCTCACCACCTCCATGGGTGCAGAATCCCCACATTTAAGGGAGGAATAGTATCCTGAGACTAGCAAAATCTTTCTTATGATCCTAGTCAAGATATGAATAGGTTGAAGAGGAAAGAGTAAGGACTCTCCCTGATGCCTCATTAGATTTGTGACACAAAAGCTCTCCCCTCTCCCTTATCTCAATCTACTAAAAAACTGTAGCATTATCAGCACTGTCCATTAACAGAGTCCTACATGAGCCAACAGGAATTATTGTTTAGTGTTAGGAGAAACAAAAAAAAGCCTTTATCCCCCATGTCTTGGACACAAACACATTCAAAAGGCCCTCTAAGAAAGTAGAAATATGTATACAAAATGTGTGCTGCCTTGATTCTGCACACATTTCCTTCCCATGAGGCTTACGTGGCAAAAGCTGGGAAACAGGCCAGCTCAGGCTGTCCCACAATGCATTTCTAGGGGAAGGCACCTGAAGACATGGCACGGGGTTACCCAGTGCGGCAAGGCCACCCACTCTACTGTGGCTAATGCTGAGGCAGCAGCAGTGACAAAAATGGTTGTAGCCGGGGAGGCGATGGTGGCAGCAGATCAGTGACCCTGCTGAGAAGGGCCAGGAATAATTTGTGCTCCTTTATTTTATTTATTTAGGAAGCTTCTATGCTGCCCCATTCGCCGAAGCCTCGGGGCGGCCACAACAATAAATAAATAATCATAATATAAAAACAATATAATTTGAGACGACCTGGCCAGAAATATAAAATAAATAAATAATATTAACAATTAAAATGACGTTTAAATAAAAAGGTCTTCGCCTGGCGCTGAAAAACAAATAACGACGGCACGAGGCGGACCTCTCTGGGGAGCGCATTCCATAGGTTGGGCGCCACTGCAGAGAAAGCCCTCCTCCGAGTACTTACCCTCCTAATTTCCTTCACGGAGGGTTCCCGGGGAAGGGCCTCTCCCGCTGCTCTCAAGGGGCGGGCGGGCATATATGGACGTAAGCACTCCTTCAGGTAACCATGACCCAAGCCGTTAAGGGCTTTATAGGTCATAACCAACACCTTGAATTGGGCCTGGATTTCAATGGGGAGCCAGTGAAGCTGACAGAGAACTGGAGTCATGTGAACATAACGCCCAGTCCCTGTCAGCAGCCTGGCAGCTCTATTTTGAACAGTATCTTTAGGGTACTGCTACTGAAACTCCCACTGATAAAGTAGATTTTTTCCCTTGAGGTTTGCTGTTCTACAATGATAGTATCACAGGTCCTTGCTCCGATATCTGTCCAGGCCATCAGTCACATTCTTACAGTCTTATCTTAATCCTGTTTGCCCAAATTGCCAAATTTAGTCTCAGAAGTGTGTCGGCCACTGCCACTGAATCAGTGGCTGTTAGCCAGGATCTCAATGATAACAGAGCTCAGTAAATACATGCACTTTATCACATATGATGAAAAGCTAAGTATTAATGTGAAGATGGGAAAATGTCACTCTGCCTGGACATCTGTCCTCTCAAAGCCACTTCTAACACTACAAGCTTAGATCTGCCTACTCAAAAGTACCCCCCCCCCCAGTGTAGTTTATTCCCAGGAAACAGAGTGTCAAAATGCAAACTGCCTACTCATTCCAACATGAGAGCATTTTGTAATACAACTTTTGAGTAACTGTCCCTATATTGCAGTACCTTTCAGTCATGTCCTGTCCCCTTGTCCCTTGGTCATGTGCCATATTGCTCCACAGATGCACAACTGCAAACAAGTCTTACTTGTGCAACCACATCCTTGACCCTCCCAAACATGTTTTCTTCCTCAAGATCATACAGCCATCCTGTGAATGTGCTTCAATGCCATATTTTAAGGGTAGTTATCACCTCTAACCATTCTAAATACAACTTTTTATTACCCACTATTTACAGCATGATGGGCAGCCAATAAAGCTCTCAGTGGAATTGTACATCCTTACACAGTTCACAAGGAATCCTCTTTTGTCTTTGAATAGCAGAATTCAATGTCAAATTTATCAACTGGCAATTTATTATATCAAAACTTGAGTGCATAAATCAACATTAAAAGGCACATTTAAGATTCCTTTAAAGCACACAACATGATCATGGAGCAAGTTTTGAAGATATTTCACATCAACAAAAAAAGCAACTAGCCTATTTACAGTTCTTCTGAAGTTAATCTATAAAATATTTGGTATGCTTCCCTCTTGGCTGCACAGGGTATGTATTTACACTTTGTTCCACTGAACTGCATGATTCTAGTCAACCCTGCAAGAACTCAGCTTCTTCATTTTGAAAATTAAGGGGGAAAACACATGAGGAATGGAAGCAGGAAGGCAGCAGCCATAACCTACTGAGCGGGTGCCTCGAGTGTTGGGTGCAGCCTTCTGGGATAAATTGGGTTCATGCCTTGCTCTAGAAGGCTTGGAACACTGGCACAGAATCCATATGATTGACTTCATAGATGAAACTGATGAGCCAGGTTTTGAAGATACTGCAAAAATACTGAATCACAATAGGCTGGTTCCACTTCACATTGGAACTGCTGGTGAAGTGCAAAGTGGTGAGCACACTGACAGCCATGTGGTTACTGCTTCTGCTTTTGATTAATAATGTTACTGGCTATTTCATAACAGGTGAATTTGGAAACTCTGGGTTCTTGGAGGGTTAAAGTACCCAGAATTAATGCCCTTAATTTATTGTTAGACAAGGAATAGCTTGTTTAACCCATTGCCAACCCAGAGTTTCCTGGTTTGCATATTACAAAACAAGCCAAGGCAGGGCTTTCCTAGCTTATTTGAGAGCAGAAACAGCAACAGTGACGGAGGCAGCATGTTTATTGCTCCGCTTAAACAACCTAGGGACTGCAGTGTGACATGCAAACCATGTCATACAAATAAAGGACAGCTTAAATCTGGTAGACAGGAAAAGCACTAGCAAAGCAACAGAGGTATTTAGAAATACAAAGAAGATCCTTAAACTCAAGAGTATACTAGACTGGTAACAGAAAGTCAAAGGGCACCTTCACACATCATACTAAGCCACACTGTGAATTAGCTACACAGTGTGGGTTGTCTGGAGAACAAACACAATGTGCCAATAGATGATAAGACTCCTCTTCCTTCCCCATCAATCCTCTAGCCAATGTCCCAGGGTCCTTCACAGCAGAACACATCTTGTCTCTGCTTCTCATTCTAACTGCTACCTCACCTTCTCATTCACTGCTGCTTTTTAGTGTGTTTGTTTTTAAGACTCAAAAGAGTGCAACTGGGGTTGGGGGGGGGGGTTCACCCCCAGAAAACTGCCCAACTGTGCTTATAATTTTTATTGTTATTTTGCAAGTGCACACCTATGGCTCCACTATGAATGGCCTTTTCTGGTCAATCTCCTGTTTGTTAGAGCTGCCAGAAGGAGTGGGGAAGTAAGGAACAGAGTGACAAGGCTAGACTTCATACAGGCTACTTTGCACATAGTTACCTAGCTGTAAATACAAAAGCACCAGGGAAAGGTCAGGGAGAAGCAGCATGAGAAGGAGCCTGAAAGGAGGTGGGGGTACAATATCTCCTTCATGGCAATGTCATCCTCTCATTTTTAAGTGTTGAACTGACAATATCAGTGTCCTCCACTTTTTCAACACTTCCCCTGTCTCCAGCTACTCCAGAAAGGAGAGATATTAACTTCCCCATTTCTTCAGCTCTTTTCAGGGTGTTTACTGCTGCTACTGTTTCCCCCTCGTTTCATTTCCAGTGATTGAAATTGCGTATATTTTTATGTTTGTTTAAAATAATGCCAGTGGGGGAAGATAATTTAAATTATCTGTTTACAGAAACATAGAAACAAAGCAAGTCAGAAGGGGCCTCCTGGGCCATCTAGACTGACCCCCGGCTCCAGCCAGCTCCACTCACGACATGCCCACCATGTGCATCTCCAGCCTAACTTTGGACACCCGCACCGATGGGGTCTCAACAACTTCCCATGGAAGCCCATTCCACACCCTCGGGGTCCTAACTGTCCTAATGGGGTCCTAACTGAAGAGTGACAAACCAGTGAGAGTTGCTCCAAAGTACTCCTTGGACAGCGGCAGTGGATAGGAGACCACAAAGAGTGGCAAGAATCGTTGTCAGCTCACTAGCTGATCCCTACAAGCCACAATTGCATTGATCTCCTGATCAACAACCCCTCCTGGGATGAACAGGAGAGTACAAGAAGAGCATGACAGTAAATATTCAGCTCCCTTGCTTTATATGTGAACTAACCGGTCACATCCTGCTTAATCCAAATATCTAGCTATATACGAGATATAGCTCGTATGCCATATATATATATATATATATATATATATATATATATATATATATATATATGATGGTTTTGGAAAAAAAAGCTTACAATGAGGTAATTATCTAGAAACCTTGCCTGTTACCAAATATTGGTTCCCCTGAAGCACTCAGTGCTGAGTAATCCATGCCATAAAAGTTCAGCCCCAGAAGGATTTTACTTCTCCATTTGGATTCTGGATCCAACATCTGAACACACGCTCGCATCCAAGGTAGCGGGGAATTAGGGCCAGGCCTGCAGAAACAGCAAAGAAGTCAGGTTCAATGTGAAACCACAGATTCCTAAGAAAAGTAGAAATATTTTTAACATGTCTCTGTTATTAGGAGATCCATAACTCCCAAAACAAACAGGTTTTGCCAGCAGAAAGATGCAGAATGACAACTGCATTCTTAAGGTACGAAGTGTGGCAATTTTTTAGTAAATCTTTGCTCTCCTGCTTCTCCAATATTTTATCTTATGATAATATAAGCTGCCTTGATTCTGCCTGGAAAGGTAAAATATGCATTTTAATACAAAAATTGCTTTGAAGAAGTTGCCATCCTTCTGAAAGTATTCAGAAAAGGGTTCACAGTCATATCTTTTTCAAACAGCATTGTGCTTACATATAGACATATACTCAGATGTAGCTTTCTTCATGTGTAAGATTTTTGTTAAGGCTCAACTGTATCATTTTGTATTGTATTTTTCAAGTGTACATCCTTCAGGAATTTCAAATAAAGTGGCTTTTGAAAAGGCTCTTGACAGTTTGCTTGTGTTTTGACATCTTCTGGACTCTTTTCAATATGCCCCTATTTTGGCTGGAGACATCTGAAATTTTAAAAGCCCCAAGGAAAAACGAGTAGATGCTATGTAATATGGAATTCTGTTTGTATTTTCCTTGGACAAGCAACTGAATGATTTCGCTTATCTTGTGTGCACACTTCAAGCTGACAGTTAAGATAACAAGATACAAATATTAAAACATTGTTTGCTGAAGCACGAAAGAGGTATTATTTTGTGTACACTCAGCACCTGTCAGAACTGCCTCAAAGCAAAATGGGAATAGAACAGGGTTAGTTGTCTATCCTCAAAGGCCAAATTGGACAGGATTTTAGAGATCAGGCTACCAATGTGAAAAGAGGACTAAAAAAATTAAATAAATGTAAGGCAAGAGGAATGTCAGCAACTAGGTTTATGAAGCATTCTCAAATGAAAGGTCTGATCGATTCAGTGTAGCTAAGTAGTTCTTTATATATACTTCTGTACCTTAGAAGCACCTATACATTATTTAATATTCATTGACAATATTTCTATCCTTGCCTTTAGAAAATAAAAACTACCATATTTTTTGCTCTATAAGACGCACTTTTTCCCCCCTCAAAAGTAAGGGGAAATGTCTTTGCGTCTTATAGAGCGAATATGTGTGTGCCCGACACCCGGGATGCTGCCGGCCCGCCTGCACCACGTGGCACCACCTGGCCGGCACACGCTCGGCGCGCCCTGCTCCGCCCCCCCCCCACTCTGGCGCAGGTGAGAGCTGTGCCGCTCAGGGGGAGTGGTGTGGAGGAGAAGGAGCCGCGGGCTTTAACCCGCTGGCCACACAGAGAGACGGACTGCTCACCCCCACCGCCCGGGAAGACCTGCCGCCACCACCGCCACGCCGCCCAGAAGACCACCGCCGGCACGCTGCCGGTCCGGCTGCACCATGTGGCACCACCTGGCCGGCACGCGCTTGGCATGCCCTGCTCTGCCCCCCTCCTCCAGCGCAGGTGAGAGCTGTTAATCACAGGTTGGTGTGTGTTTTCAAATGGCAACCCGTCTTTTAATGAAGCCCATGGGGAAGTGATGGGGAATGTGCCTGTGATTATCAGGAAGCTTTCCATGGATCCCTCCTCTAAAAACTAGGTGTGTCTTACAGAGCGAAAAATATGGTAATTAGAATAAAAATCTCATCCACTCACTAAAATATAGAACTTCTAATGAAAATTTAGCTGTGTGCAAAAAGGAAATACTAATTGTTAACCCTATTCAAGACTGAAATCCTATCATTAGTCTAATATCTATGCTTGATACACTAATACCTATATTTTATGGCATAACACGTAACTTCTATACTGCATTTAAAAAAAATCCCATTCAGTTCTCAAAGAAAAGCAGGCTTGTAATTGAAACAGAAACAGCTTCAGCTCTAAGAACACTTACTGTGGTGTCCCACACTGGACTTGATGCAATCTACTTTAGACTGAATGTGCTTCTAATTGGGCTGTGTATCACCATTGAAAACCCACCAAGGACAGCATCAGAGTATCCTAAAAGATCTTAGGCAAATGGTTTAGCTGAACGCCTTCACATTTTCAGCCGTCACTCCATCATCATCTTATTACTAATAGAAGATATTAAGTAGGAGTGATGTGAGCTCTGGTATGTTGGTTAATGTCAGAACTGCATCCCAGTAGCCAGTTCAGTGCACTGTTGTCTTCCGTGTTTATCACCTTACCGTTGCGGTGCTGAATAATCGTATGTCATGAGGCTGAAGCTGTCCACTACCGGGGCTAGCTGATCAAATTCTTTCTTGGTAAATATGCCCAGCTGGTTGGTTCTTTAAAAAAAGAAAAGGGGAAATGTTTGTTATTATGCATTTATTTAAATAACATTTTAGGGCACAACCCTATGCATGTTAAGTCAAGAAAGAAGGCCTACAACTTGCTCCTGGGGCATGCTGGGCGCTTTATGCTGGCTGGGGCATGCTGGGAATTATAGGCCTTCTTTCTACATAAGTTTGCACACAGTTGCACCTTTGAGACATAATGTCATTAGCACACATAGAACATTAAAAAGAAGTCCCTATCCCAAGGAGAGTATAATCAAAGAGGAAGTGGAGGCAAAAAAGTATACAGGGAAGCAATATGCAGTTATTTCAGCTGCATGGGCTTATGCTTAACTTGTTACAGTAAAGCAACAGAAATAGTCAGTTTCTGGACTATACATGCATATCATGTGTTACATGTAGATTCCTTTTAATGTAGATTTCTTTTAATACATGTACATTTCTATGCACTTTTTATAGGAAATGTTCCCAAATAGAATGTAGTGTTGGGCTTACTTTTCCCAAATATCTGAGTAGACGTTTTTGTGTACAATTCTGTGTGAGCTGCACTGCAAACCTGTGCAGATTTATTTATTTATTGCATTTTTATGCCACCCCCATTGCAACAAAGCCTCGGGGCTGCTCACAACAAAAACAAAGTTATACAATAAAAATATTAAAACCCGGTGCAGCTCGGCTTAAACATTTTTTAAATCCTACAAATAACCAATAAATTAACACTTAAAGTAAGTTTTAAATAAAAAGATCTTAGTCTGGCGCAGAAAAACAAATAACAACAAACAAACACTCTGGTTTACGGATACTTTTGGGAAGTTAAAATTGGATGAGTTCATATAAAATTTGGACAATGCATTTCTCATCCATCTCACGTTTTAAGGGAGGATTTGAAAGACATGTTTATTGCTCAACAGGGACTTTGAGGAACTCCAGGACTTGACCTTAAATAAAATTTCCCCAATCCCTTTAGTCCAGTCCAAAAATGAAGACTCCTTTAAAGATTAGGCTTCTAACTTCCTGAGGCATATGGAACTCAAATAGTTTTGGGAAAAGACAGATGTGAGAAAGAATGGACTTGTGAATCAGAGTAACATACCATTATGTTTGCACTCTAAGAATCCTGGGCTTTTTTGTTTGTTTGTTTGTTTGTTTGTTTTTGAGGGGAAGATAGGGATTTACAATATTTTCCATCCTAGTCATAAATGTACTGATGTCTTTAGAGAAATCTTGTCCTTGCTGCACTGTTGAAACATTATGTTTGCAATAATGAACTGACTTTAGCACCAGCATTTTGATGGTGATTGTAGCTTTATGATCAGATGTCCAGAGACATTTCATTCACTGTTTTCAAATACAATATTCGATCATTCTTATATTATACATTTACAAACTCTGGGCAGAAATTGCAAATCACCTTTACATTAAAATGAACCTCAGCCTTTCCCAAAGACTGAGGCTGAATCTACATTTTAAAATGTAAACACACTTCTAATATTATTTCACTAGCACCTCAAACCATCCCAAGCAAAGTCTGACCAGTCTATGAATTATCACTCTCCTGCTCTGCTTTTACCACTCGATCTAGCATAACCCTTAAGCTTTCTACTCTTGTCTCTCACACAGAATAGCCCACGGAACTATCTCACATGCTTTTTGCCAGGACAGAGTGATCCTATGGCCTTTTCCAGTCTCCAGGGATCCATCACTGGAGGTGGAACTTGGAGTTTTTCTCCAGAACTCAGATCCCTTCCCTGTCACAGCTGGGAGAGAAAACCTACCATGGCTCTTTCTGAGGCCAGGAACACTGCCATGAAGAAGTGGAAAGTGGCTGGGGCATGGAAGGGAGGAAACCAGGAAGGCCAAGATTCAAGATATCCTGCAGCCACTTTAGCCTTTCTCCCCTCCCACAGAGATACACCAGCTACACCAGAAAAGGCCCATCTACTGAAAATGCTGAGCAGGAGGACAGGGAAGCAAACACTCCTCCTGCTCTGCATCCGCACAGGTTTGGGTCCTATGGCCAGCAACTGGAGCACCACAGAACGCTGATCTCTTCCACTAGCCTTGCAGGCAGAGGTCTGAGGGTGGAGGAGGACAACCGATCATGAAATGGGACTTCAGGAAAGAAGTTAAAGGAATTAAAGGGGCATTGTAGAGAGGGGGGCTCCAATACACAATATCTGAGAGACTCCCTATTCCCTTCCCCACTCAAGAAAGGTAATTCAGCTAGAAGGGCTTAAAGGAAGGTCTAGTTGCATTTTGCATTTCACATGAAAGAATGGAGGTAAAATAACCTCCATCAACCACCTGCCCTGTTTTGCCCATGGTAACAATGCATAGGATAGAAAGAGGGTTCCAAATTTGGAGTCCTTTGTTGATCAGGATCACAACCCTGATCAGCCCTGTAGGAGTGTGCCCTAAATCAGTAAATCAGTTTGAATACAAGATATTCAAACTTGAACACCTGGGAAAAATCATTACTTTTTTATTAGCAGTTCTGGTGTAAGTAATCTGGAAACTAGTCATTCCCCGTTATGTATGGGTGCCAAAGCTGGATAGTTAAGAAAGCTGACAGGAAGAAAATCAATATATTTCAAACATGACGCTGAAGGAGAGCTTTGTGAATACCCTGGACCGACAAAAAGATGAACAAGGTGTCCTAGATCAAATCCAGCCAGAACTTTCCCTGAAAGCAAAACATGATGAAACTGAAGCTGTCATATTTTGGGCACTTCGTGAAAAGGCATGACTCCCTGGAGAAGACAATCATGCTAGAAAAAGTTGAAAGTAGAAGAGGAGGAAGAGGATCACCTATGAGAGGCATTGATTCCACAAAAAAGTCTCAGCCTTGAATGTACAAGAGCTGAGCAGGACCGTGAAGGACAAGACATTCTGGAGGGCTTTCATTCATACTGTCTCCATAAGTTAGAGATGACTTGCCAGCATAACAGCAGAAGGTGCCCCCACCATTTCTCAGGATAAAGGACCTGACCCAGGAATACCCGGTACATTTGCAGGTAGAGCTCCCAAGATACGCAAGTAACATTTGCCTGCAGAACTGCAGCTCCTAGTTTGTGAATTGCAGTTGAATTGGATTCTCTGTTTTAGGTAACAAGAGTTCTGGTACTAGTCCTGTGCTTAGGCAAGTAAATGAACTTAAACTCAGAGGGGCTTATTTTCAAGGAAAGGGGTACAGATTAGTGAAATATGCTTTCATCCTAGCCATGCTTCTTAGGAAGTCCTATTTAGTTCCATTAGACTTGCTTCCAAATAACTGCATGTAGACCTACAGCTTCAGGATCCAACTAGAAGGGGAATTTTTGTCTGTGCTAGCAAAGCAATCAAGCAGTCCTGTTTGCAAATGAAGGCATGAGCAGGAGAAAACTGTTTGCAAATAATTAAGTACACAGCCACATATGAAAAATGCACATTTTTTCTGAAGAAACAGCTTGCAATTACAGTTGTAAACTGCTAAATTTCATGATTTAGTCATGGGGGGAAGTGGCAAAACTTTGGAAAAACGGCACATTTTTTGCACATTTTTTCTGTGTTGGATTTGCACAATTATCCTATTTGTATAAATTGTACAGAGATTACAAATGACCACAGTAAAGAAGGTGAGATGACCATCGAGCTGATACCTGGGCAAAAGTGAACTGTTTTGCTCACCCATCCCTAGCTGCTCCATTACTAAGTGTAAAGGTTCGTGGCCAGGCTCCACACCCCCAGTGGAAGAAGTCCTTGTACACTTCCACTGCGAGTATTCATAAACGATTGCCCTCATGCCTAAGTGCATGGCACTGGGGACAGCAGGGCTGGGGAGAGAAAGTCACTCAGGCATGCTTATAGTGGAAGCACTGAAGAATCTGCCTTGAATAAGCAACTGCGTTCGTGGAAAGCGTACTTCTATGAAGCCCCGCGCACCATTCTGCATGCAGGTCATGCATGATCTGGGCCTTAATTGTGGAAGAAACTGATACTAGAAGGGTCTATTTTTAGGAGGAGGAGGAGCAGCAGCAGCAGCCTTATACTTTAATTTTCAGCAAACTGACTTATAAAGAAATCTAACTAATTTCAGCAGAACCTCAAAAAACAAACCATTCCCAGTACGTTAAAAGTATTCTTCCTAAAATTTCGCTGCTTCTAAGAAAAAAAGAAAAGAAAAGATGTGTCTAAGTGCATTTACAATGCATTCAGGGTAACAACAGAATGCAAAAGACCAGAACCCAAAAGGACAATCTGAAACTGACATCAATCTGAAACTGTCATTAAATTACATGGTTAGAGAACAATCATATTAAGAGTCTTTGGTTCACATAAATGCATTTTCATTTTTTACCTAATTCATTAAGAGTTTTGAAAGTGACATTTAACTTATCATTGATAGTCTTTTCTACATTTTTTATTTACAGTCACGAGGCTCTAGAGGTGTTTAAGACATGAAACTCCATCTTTAAAAAGCAAGTCCAGCTGCAAGTATAAGCACATTTTCCCCTGAGAACAGCCACCATTGGACTCGGTGGGACTTATTCCCAACCTAGCATACACAGGATTGCAGTACATACTTATTATTCAGTGGGGAAAATGCTGTTGGGGAAGGTTAGCCACTTTGCCCCATAGACCTGATCCTATTCCCAGACAAAGTGAGGTCCTGTTCATTTGTGTCACATCTACTTAGGTACTTATTCCCACTGACTTCTATAGGAGTCTACAGAAATATAAACACTAGGAAGACAAATTAAGAAACACAAATCACAGGATTAGGATGAATATACCAGTTACTTTAAATTTCTCAGTGCTCTTACTGAATGGGATGATAAACTGTACAGAACAAAACAGATTGTCTATTGTAGTAAAAGCCACCAGGCCTCCTTCTGCATCTTGAAAACAATCATATTTAGTGAGTTGTAAGTTTTCATAGGCTAGAGCGTATTTGACGGACACATGAGACTGTTTCAAAAATAGAGCACAAAAGTTGCCCAGCCATAAATACG